CTCGTCACCAGGATGTGAACAGTGTGGCCTGTATTGAAGACAAATGCTATGTCCTAACATTGGCACAATATTGTCGGTAAGAAAGAAAGCATGTTATGATGCCCTTAGGAGTACATTGTTTTTGCATTATAACCATATTGCTTTTGGAAGATTACATGGTCTTAAAAACTTGGTTAATGAAGCTTTTTTAAATCCACATTGCATTAACTAACAAACAAATGCATGTGTACCACCAAACGCAGTCAGGCCTTTTCAATGTCAGACTGTTTTGCTGAAATTTCTTTGAAGGTGTTTGATGTACTGTATTTGTACTGTCCAGATTTCGTGCCTTGGTAAAACGCCGTAGGGAGTGCGTACATGACAGTCCTGCCTCCTTGATGGTGCCACCTGTTGTTGGCAGCGCCATGCCCATCCATCACTGTATGCCTGATGACATTGACCCAGAGCTGGTGTTTTTCTGTCGGCACGTCTATGACTTCCGCTACGGCCGACTCCTCAAGAACCTGCAGTAGCATCTAGCAGGGCGTGACACATGATGCTATGGGACGTGAATTAGTGTTACTCTGGTTTCATCCTCCACAACTTTATTTGGCTGCATACATACCTGCTGCTGTAAGAGAGGAACTGGATTTTTAGGATGAAAGGTTAAGACATGAGCATCTTTTGATTTGAAACCTTTTGTTCATATTTACCATACCACAAATTTATTTAGTACAAGAGTAATGATCTGACATATTGTGTAAGAGTTAATATGGTGGTGTAAATGGTCTTCATTATACTCAGCTCCCTGGTGTTGTAGCAGCTGTGTGAAGAACCTGGAATGTACTCTGCTGTAGAAAATGCTACTGTAGCTCTTAGAAGTGTGACATTTGATAGATATGAAGAGAAGCTGATGTTACATATGAATAATGTTACTATCTGTGTCTCAATGATACGCCACAGATAAAATCCCAGGCGTGCTCTGCCGCATCGTTTCTTGTGAGGAGACCGGAAACGGATTTTTCTGGCTGAGTGGCTGAAGGCTTAATCAATTTAATCATTGGATTTTGCTGTAATGTGCCGTTGCTTGGTGTCCACCTGAATAGAAAGATGAGGAGTGCTGTACACTGAAGTTTAACAGGAAAGCTCTAGACTGAACATCTGTGTTCAAGTTGGTTTAAAGAATAAGGCCAGTCATTTACTATATTAATAGTATTTTCTGCCATCAATGAGTCTAAAACTGACAATAATTGCCTGTACTCACTGTTAATGTCTGTCAGCTGTCAGTCTTGGATCGGTTTGTATGTCTGTGTGATAGATTTCCATCGATGTTCAAAAACAAAACACTTAAAGAGAAGCACATCACTTGCACTGGGTGACATGTTTTTTCATTACAAAACCCCAGACCTGGCTATGTTGCCCCAAATTCTCCCAAGCGGCCATAATTTCCTGAAGTTAGCATGAGTCAGAGACAGCTGCACATGTACAAGATCTTGAATGAGTTCTGTGCTTTGTTTATATTGCACTAGCTCCTCACACTCAGGTCTGGTGTTTGCTAATGAAGAAACATGTTACCCAGTACGGCTGTGTGTTTTACTGATGTGTTTTTAATTGCGTTTGAACAACAACAGAGGTCTGTGGCAGAGATGAATAACTTGAACTGTGAGTAGAGGCTATTCATTGTCAGTTTCTTTATGGGGAGTGTTGAATATAACTGTTAATATAGAAAATGACCAGCCTTATCCTTTAAGGAATAATACTGGAAACAGATAGAGATGGATAGCCTGTCTTTGGCAAGAATCAGTCAACAGTAGCTGTTTCCCTCCCATTTCTAGTCTTCTTGCTAAACTAAGCTGATCAGCTGCCAGCTGTTTATCGTACAGACGTAAAAGTGGAAAAAAGCAAAGATGCATAATTCCCAATTTTTTAATTATTTTTATTTGACATTTCCATATTATGAAATTGTGATCAGGTATGTGCACATTAAACAATGATGTGTTTTGACTCTATCTCTCATGCGTGTCTGAGAGAACTAACATATCTCTGGCTCTGAGATTCACATCTGTGGTGGTTTTTCCCACCTTAAGACAAACCCGCACTCGACAAAGAAAGTACGGTTCAGTCCGTTTGGTTTTGTAGTGTGATGATGTCCACTGAGTAGAGCAGTGAGGGGACTTTTCTGCCAATGTTGAGGGATATTTTGCTTTCTCAATGCTGTTAACCAGCAGTGTGATTTGACTCTGGTGTCAGCTTACTGTATGCTTGCATTTGTATATCTGGATGAGTGTTCACGGCAGATGGCATCAGTTAGTCACTTACATTCATATTCAGTGTAGCATTTAGATCTGTGATGATGATTCATTCCTATGTTTGAGAGAAGATATGTATTTATTTCTGTATTGAGAAAATATAATTTATTTTCAAAAGATAATTTTAAAAAGTAGTTTTAGATGAATGACTTTCATTCCTGGTTAGAAAGGAGGCTGAAATTGTCTCTCCTTCTTGGCTGCACTGTCTTAAGATGAAAAGTGTATGAGCCATTTGCAGTGTTATTTCTGTGACTGAACTTGCTTTCCCAGTACAAGCCTATTAAATGTTGTGTTGAAATGTTGAGGTCCTCCAGGCAGGTTTGAGGACACATTTGGAGTATTTGGAAGGATCTCGGATAGACTTTGAAGGACACCTGCCAACATGTGACCAGAGATGCTTAACCTGTAGGACCAAAACATACCTTGGCCCTCCCAGCTTCCTGTCATCCTCCTTTCACATTTCTTCCGATGATGAAGCTTTGCCTCTTTACCTTTAATGCAACAATAATTTTAACTTTCCATTAGCCTGTGCCCTTGATCTTGCTGCCTTATAGACCATTCCCAGCCTTCCATTTAGAAATGTATACCAGTCTCCAGCCTGGGGTTATGAAGCTTCTTAGTGTAGTGAGTTTGATACCTAGATGCTTGTTATGCATCCCAGGTACATCTTGTTCATGTAAAACTGACCCTTGATTGACATTTTTAGTTTATCTGCACTGTTCATTTCAAACTGAAAGTGGTGTGGTACTGTCTGTGTGTGTGTGTGTACTAAATATATTTCCAAGTTGGGGTTAACTCAGCAGACAGGCTGGAAGCAGGAACAAACCTAGTTCTCATCAAGTACAAACATATCTTTACATACAAAGATAACTAAAATCCACCTACCAGCACCTCTAAAGTGGATATGTTTGATTTTTACAGATTAAACATAATATGAGTGTCAAAACAACCATTTGCTCTTACTGGTTTCCTCATGCTTCCAGTCTTTATGCTATACCAAGCTAATTAGCTAGTGGCTGTAGCTTCATGCATAGTTGCATACATACAGACATGAATGCAGTCTTGAGCTTCTCACCTGACTCTCTAAAAGAAAGCATTTCCCACAGGATGTCAAATAGTTCCTTTTAAGTTTGTAATTTTATCCTTCTAAAAACAGAAGCTGTTACAGTAAAAATCAGCTTGATTTGTAACAGTTGCTATGAATTCTATTTGTTTTCACAGTGGACTAAACTGCATTAAAAACTCCCCAAACTAGCATAATCCAGCTCTTAAATGTCCATCTGCATGCTCATCATGTTCCACAAAAATCACGCTCTTGCCAAAAAAGTATTGACACTATAAAGACACCTTTTGGCAGAGATTGGTGGAGGGTGATAGCACAGAGGTGGGAAATGGATTGTGCCGCAGGAGTATTTCAGATGTCTGTTACTCTACTTCACGTCACCATTTGGGTACTTGATATCCAACATGTTTTAAGTGGACCACAAGCACTTTTCTACATGAAGGAGGAAACTACAAATTACTTATAGCCACTTTACAAGCACAGAGAGAGAGAGAGAGAGTCTTTTTTTTTTAAAGATAGATTTTTGGGTGGAGTATCACTAGAAAATGCTCACATCCTTTCTACTTCTGCTTTACCCCCTGTACAAAGGGTGTGTTATTTTACAAAATTAGAATTCAGTATAATAAAAAAAAAAAGGATTTATATTTGGCAT